TTAAAACAATTATGTTTTTTTTGTAAAGTTAGCACAAAAAAAGTGATACCTCTATCACAATGCAATTGGCTATATTAATTGAAATTACAAATATAAAATAATTAGTAATATCCACTAACATACATATAAGTGGAAGTGAATGAAATTCAAATTGTAGTGTGACCTTCAGACGGTCAGTGAACAGACTGTGGTCAGTAGGTGTGCCGTCTGAGACTTAGACAAACCACAGACTACTGGAGCATGTGCACATTCACACACACACACACACACAGAAATCTCACCTGGATAGGAAGTCACTGGTATTCCCAGATAGGCCGGCAGCCACTCATAGAACGCTAGATTCTGAGGAAAGATGTGTTCAAAGGAGATATTAAGTGAAGGATACTGCATCACACCCCTCCAAATTGGCACCTGTTACATAAAGTGAGTCAGTAATAGAGGATCTGCTTTACCTGAAATGTGGCAATAACCCTCTTTCGGGCATTTTGGAAAAGCTCTTCGTCTGACCAAGAGGGGTGTTCCTTATGCAGTTTGGAGGCCAGGTAATTGTGGTAACGAAACCAAATAATTCCCTCAGTGACCGTAAAGATGTTCTCATTGGCCCAGGCATTCCCGAACTCTGAGAACACACAAAACCAGCAGCTGAAAACCACAACTTGCAACATTTCCATAAGCCCTTTGCATGCAAAACCCGTACGAAACCCACGCAAAGTGAAAAGTTACTCCAATCTGTATCATGTTCGTTTGTACTTTATTGCTTAATGTTTTGCTAGCTATGGAGCCATTTACAAGAGGTAAATATACATAGATTGAAGATTATTTTCAAAAAACGATGGTCTATTGGCGTCACATATGAGTTAAACAAAAGCTGTGGTTTATTTTGAGTATTTTACCTACAATACCTCATTTTGGTGTTTGTTTGTTTTTTTACAAAAATTTTTACAGCAACATACAGCACATTGTTATGGGTTTTAGCAGACACATGCTCATGCAAAAGAACCTGGTGACAGACTAAATTACGAGCAAAATGACTTAAAATGTTACCTGAATCCCTTACAAAAATGTACCATGGTAACCATAGTGACCGCTAAAATATGATAATTACTATAGTCACAGTTGCAACAATACCACTCTAGTATTTATTTAATTATTCCAACATTTATTTATTTATTATAATTTATTATTTTTATAATGATTTATTGTTTTAAATAATTTATTTATTACTTTATTTATTATTATTTCATTCATTCATTCATTAAATTTATTAATAATTAATTAATTTGTTTATTTATTAGTATGTGTTTATTTTTCCCATTTATGTATTATTTATATCCATAAATAAATAAATATTATTATTATTATTATTATTATTATAAAACCAAACTATTATTTATAAATAAGTCTATTTATTTATTTATGCATATAATACATGTATTATGTATTTGCCCAAAACTAAATAAATGTAAAAATGGGTAACAGACAAACAAACAAACAAACTAATAAAATAGTTATCCATTAAGAAAATAAAAAGTACTTATTTATCCATAAACAAAAAAAACAACAAAGAAACAAACAAATGAATGAATGACAACAATTCTGAAAGCTTCTCAGTGTTTGCAGAGGGTCTTATATTAATTTACGATTTTATAGCAGGTAAATAATTGCAGTTACTATAGTACTTTGAAGGAATCTATGGATACCATGGTATAATTTTGTAAGGGATGTTGCAAGAAAGTATGAATGCAAAATATTCCAAGTCCTACCAGACAAAAATTCCTTGAATAGCCACGTGACTACTGCCCGTGTGATCATAAATAAAGAAATGTACTACAACTTAAAGTAGCAGCTCCAAATGTTACCATAGAGCTCCTGTGAGCCGGGGCTGGTGCTGGGGTCCGGTGCGCTCCACATGAGGTAACCGCTGCTGCTGCGCCGGGGCATGTCCTGTGAGGAGCCTGATGCCAGCAGTCCTCTGGAAAACACTCTCAAGGCATCACACCATGAGCTGGACGATCCATAGATGGAGCTGCCATCTATCCATGCTGTCACGTGATTCACCTGAAATGAATTATGCGTAAATCAAAAACTCAGCAGATCCATTCTAAATCCCATACAATCTATTGTGTCTACATACACACCTGTGTGCGAGGATTGTTGGGACTATTGCCTGTGCTCAGATCCCACTCTGCTCTCTGGAACTGGAGCAGGACCGGTTGCGAAGAGTTAGAGCCAAAGACAGGATCTTCTTTTTGGACTTTAATATGCAGGAACTCAGGTGGGCAACCAGGTCTTCGGGATTCTGAGATCTCGGACCACACATGATAACCTAATGCAGTAATATCGAGCATGTGTTAAAGTGGCCATCATGAGGAATCAAATTCTCCTTGATCTTTTACAAAAAGGAGACAATATCAGGAAAATATCTACTGAAATCCTTGAAGAATTCTAAAACTTTAAATTCTTAAAGGGTTAGTTCACCCAAAAATGAAAATTCTGTCATTCATTACTCACCCTCATGTCGTTCCAAACCCGTAAGACCTTCGTTCATCTTCGGAACTCAAATTAAGATATTCTTGATCAAATCTGAGAGCTCTCTGACTCTCCGTAGACAGCAATGCAACTGCACTGTTCCCAGGTCCAGAAACGTAGCAAGAACATCGGTAAAACAGTCCATGTGACATCAGGGGTTTAACCGTAATTTTACGAAACTACAAGAATACTTTTTGTGCGCAAAGAAAACAATAATAACATAATTCATTCAGCAGTTCTTCTAGCCAAGTTACCGTCTTCCGCCATTTTGGTAGTACCCCAGAATGTAATCAAAGTAATGAGCGTTGTTTACTTTACTTTATTTTACTTTCTACTGAACGTAAACAAGGCTGATTACATGCGAATCTGATTACGTTGATTCGCAGCTCAAGCAGTTAATCAAGACTCACTTTCAGACGCCTGACAGTCACCTCGACTCGAAATGAGCCAAAATACCAGCGTATCTCATCCTGTCATGCTGGTTTTGCCAAATCATTCAGCACTCCAGTTACTACCACAGTCACTGAACTGAGGAAACAGTTACGGCTGGAGACTGATGAGCCGGTGATACGCAAATGCGAGAACCAAACACTTGAATGAAAGTTTTTATGGTTTTCTCATTGCTTATGTAAAAAGGTGAGCTGAAGAAGACTATTTTATTTACTTTATATGCTTTAGACATGTAAAACATCCATGTTTCACTTCATTCAAGGGTGCTTTAATAATATATTTATGCTTACGTTACATCATTGCGTGATTATGTAAATGAACTGAATAATGAGTTATTTGAACCAGTTAACTGAAACCAACTGTCCGAAAGAACCAATTCACAGAAAACCATCAGATTTCCCTGTTTGCCCGAGGCTGTTGATTACAGGTAATAACGTTGTAAATAATGTTCAGTTTCTTGCACAGACTGATCGCTTCACTTCATAAGACCTCAATATATCATCAGGAGCCACGGGTATTAATTTTGGGTTCCCTGATTTGCGTTTTTGACTCTCCAAATGATGGTAGCCGCTGACATCACTTCATCAATCACCAAGTGCCACGGTTTCAGCTAAAAATCTTCTTCACTGTTCTACTCAAGGAAAAAATTCACCTATCTTGGAAGGCCTGAGGGTGAGTAAATTAACAGCACATATTCATTTTTGGGTAAACTTTAACTTGTGAACCTCTGCAATCACTAGCTACATTTACAAGCAGCCAAATAATCTGTTTATTGATGGACTGATAGCTCAGTCAGACTGAAAAGACTTGACAATGAAACTGCTCAATCGATCCAGTTGAGCTTGAGCCAAATGAAATTTCAGTTAGATTGAAAGAGGTGGTGTAAACCTGAAATAATCCAATCAAAAGGAAATAACGCAAGTAAACACTTGAATCTAACTATTTTCTCAATCATATTCAAAAATACGTGCTATTCCAATTGACTGATTCAGTCCATTTTGTGAATGAATCATTTTCATAACATTTAACTGAAATATTTGACTCAAAAGGATGAATGATTCCTTTTGTTAGTCTTTGCTTATTTGCACTTTTTCTTCGCTGCTGTAACATGGAAACTTCCCCATTGTGGGACGAAGGTTTATCTAATCTAATCTAATCTAAAAGGATGAATGATTCCTTGTAAACTGGACATCACGACTCCAATAAACACACTTAGGAGAACCAGGGTGGATTTATAACAGTCTGACTGAACCCATAAGATAATATTACAGTGAAAGAGTCATTTTATAGTGCTTTTGCATCTGTTTTGAAGCTTGAATGTTCCAGTCCCTATTCATTGCAATTGCATGGAAAAGAGTTACTAGCAATTTCTTGGTTTTTGTACCATGAAAGAAAGGACTGGAACAGCATGAGGGTGAATAAATAGTACACTTTTTATTTTAATTGGGTGAGCTATCCCTTTAAAGTAAATTACACTCAGGATGCCTTTATTAAAAATGTGAAACTATAATTAAAGGGCTGGCTCTTCAATCAACAGGTTGCGCCATGTTTAAATGAAAGCGTCACTCACCGAAGGCTACAGAGAGAACGCTTCTGTTCCTGTAGGACAAGAGTCCGGATTGGCCACTCATGGCTATGTTGCTTATCTGGCGGGGGTTGGGCAGGTGCGGTTCCTGTCGGGGCAGATAAACACCATCCGTGTACTGCGCCGGAAAGAGACGGACCAGTGCTGCACCTGTGGGGAGAACATCCTGATGTTTCCTTTTTTTTTTTGTAAAAAGCCTAAAAGAAGTATGAATTCAGTCACCTGTAGCCCCTCGATTGTGATCTGCCAAATTATTGTACCACCCATCATACCTTTGAACTTCCCAAGCAATGGCAGAATTGGCACCTGTTTGGTTCAAGATCAAAGGGAGTTTTGCAACACTATAATAAATGTGAATCATCATATAATGTTAGTTAATGACCTATTCATTTATTTCATGCACATTCAAGCTGTTCTTAAAATATCCCTAGGATTGATATAGAATTCAAAATCTAATTTACGTCATAAAACGTCCCTCAAAAAATTTTATACAACAATAGTTATGGTGTAAAATAAATAAATATTCAAGATTAAAGAAAAAAAAAAGCTATTTTGTGACAATGAGACGTTTTGTTACAATACTTTTTTATTGCAAAATAGAGGAAACTATTTTTGAATAACCTTGATTGAAGTACAGTTTATTGAAATACTTCACAGTAACTTTCATGAATAACAATAACTCATATTAGGTATACAAAAAGCTGGAAATTCATGTTTTTTCATATATGCACAAAGTGAGGTTCAAAAATCTGAGACCATATAGAAAATACTGTCATTTTTTCTGATTAAAACTGCATAAAAAAATTGAGAGGACAGTTAAACTGAAAAATCATACAAATTATAGTAGTTTTTATCATTTCAAAATGCAACAGATAGATAGATAGATAGATAGATAGATAGATAGACAGACAGATAGACAGACAGACAGACAGACAGACAGACAGACAGACAGATAGATAGATAGATAGATAGATAGATAGATAGATAGAATGTAAAAATTATTTTTCAAAGTTGTAAATAAAACAAAAGATTAATAGAGTAAGTTCCACAAGAATGTACTATTTTAGTATTTTTACATCAAAATTTCACTAAACTCAACGTAAATTGCCATTTCTTTGTAATTATTTGTTAATTTACTAGCAATTTTTGAGTGAAAAATGGTTTCTACACCAATTTTTTCAGTGTAGATATAGATAGACTTCTACTCACCAATAGCTGGACAAAGAACAGACAGTGCAGTTAAAGTTCTCCAGATTACCTCACACAAACCCATTCTTCCAAACCAATGAAGCACCTCTTCACACGAGAGCACTTCACTTCAGACTAGAGAAAACTGCTGTGTGTACAAGCAGACACAACTCTCCTAAAGGGTGTATTCACACCTGTCTTGCCGTTAAGACTGACCAATCGGGAAATTTAGAGCAAACATTAAGGCAATTAAAATGAAAATACAGCCACGCCTGTCTACAGAATAGCACTCCTCACCTGTCCGCGAATAGATCGGATGGCAGCGAAAGTAAAAGGAAGAGTCAGTGACGGAATGAGAGTCCGACCCACATCCACACCTGTCTGTTTCACACTCAGTTTATGTTGAAGGGCTGGTCTGGTCATGAGCGGTTGACACCTTTCTTTGGGAATACCAATCAATGCAAATCAAAGCTGTTATTAGGAAGTGCGATCCTTTAAAAGATGAGCGCCGAGAGGATCATCTTATTTTCAGGACACATATTTTTCCGTGTTGTTTCGCGGCTCTCGTTGCGTCCACAGGTGAGTTGCATTGCGGCATTGTCGTTGGGTAGGAATTTCTAAATGTCTATTAAGTCACATCCAGTTCTGTCAGACTTTAAATGAAGATGCAATGTCCTTTGATTTACGGTTATCAAAGTATCCTCATTCACGTTAACAATCACCTCAAGGTGCGCTTACCTGGACCGGTTACCTGAGCGGGATCATTTGCATTATAACGGGCTGCTCTGCGAGTAGCGCTTTCTGTGTTGTAGATGTATTTTAAGTCATTTTTATAGATTTTAAAGACGGATCTGAAGTGAGAGAGATGTGCTGAATTATGGGGGTTGTTTGCGTAATGAAGGAAACATATTTTCTTTTTAACCACAAGCTTTTGTTTAAACAGGGATGAACATTTTTACCGCTAAAGTTAGAGCGCGAATTTCACTTGGCGCTAAATAGTCGCTCGCAAAAGAAATATGTTTCTCAAGCATGGGCGATAGTTCAACAAAACATAAAACTTGTCATTATTTAGCCTGTTCTTACAATTTCACATCTCACAAAAAAAAAGTCTAAGAAAGTTGACGGTCGCAAACTTTTCTACTGGCGGCCAAAAATCAGCTCGATTATGGGTTTCGCTAGAAGCACTTAAATAAGGGCCCTAAAATTTCGACCCCCCCCCTCCTCAAAGTCACTGTATAATTCGCACACTAGACTGTTATCTGCAATCTTCAGGTAACTGAGCCTCTGGCCAACACTGTCCTGCTTTCAGCTTTAGTTTTCGCCTGTGGAGGGAAGATGACTTTCTACGATGGCATTTACCCGTTCTACTCGCTACAAAGGAGCCCGTTCATCTTCGACATCAGCCTGCTGGTCGTGATCCTGGTTTTCTCGGTTCTGGCTGTCAGCTTCCTCCTCATTCTACCGGGAATACGTGGCAAATCGGTGAGTGAGTTGGGTCAGTTTGTCTAGAACGCTTTTTCTATAGGCTATCTACAACTTTAATAAGGATCAATGATAAATAAGGATGTGAGATGATCGAAGGGTGAGAGCTTTTTATAGAAAATTATAGTTTAAAATACGTGCCAAGTTCTTCGAAACCCAATTGTTGTTCAAATGGTTTCATATAGTTTGGAAAACTTTAACGCCATCAAAAATGTCTCAAATTGTGTAACCATCAGGTGAAAGGTGATTCGTTGTACCTTGAATTGAGTTGTCAAGCACAGTAGCTATTTCATACAGGCCTATTTATTTCTATTTTCCCCCTATTTTTACAAATATGTGCATTTTTGAGGGAAATAGATGACTTTTCTGTGCTCATTTTTAAAAAATCTCAAGGTCTGTACAGTAACACCATTTAAACTAAAATTACATATATGGGGTATTTTTGTCAGTTTTTTTTACATTTCTGTACCCTTGTTGATTTACAAACATAATGTGAAGTCTTTTACATCAGCTCTTCAGTCAAAGATGTAGAAACATTTGAAAGATTTTGTGTCAAAAAAGGGAGAGAAGAATATTAAAATAAAATGCCCTATTTTTCAGAGACTGTTCTGGATGTTCAGGATAATCATTAGTTTATTTATTGGAGTTGTTTTAGTAGGTGAGTATTTCAAGTATTTTTCAATAAGCAAGTTAATCTGGAAATCTTGTTTGTTGCTAGATATGTTTATATTGGCCTCAAAAATATTTTCCTATTTAACATGAATTTAAAATGCATGAATATCATTGCATTAGACAACAAACGCTGCTTGAGTTTTTCTCTAATTTCTCCAATGACATTTAACCAAGGTCAAGGTGATTACCAGTGAGTGTCTTTCATTAAATTTAATTGGTTTGATTTGACATATTTGTTACGTAATGCAATAGCATTCATACAGTCATAAAAGTGTGAGTAAGAGTCTAAAAATTCAACTGGAACAATAGAAATAAATCATTTTAAGTCCAGTTGTCTTGTGTCATTACATAAGAGCTGCTGAAATTGTGTAATATAGCCTACATTTTAATTTCCTGACTTTTTTTGTCCACTCCAGCATTGAATTTTACTGGAGACTGGGCTGAAGCCAGCGTGAAGGCCAACGCCACCTACAAATCCTTCAGTAACGCTGTGGTGTCTGCTGAGGTGGGACTTCATGTGGGGCTGTATGGCATAAACATCACACTTAAAGGTAAACCATAGGAGTCGTCAATATTTATGGTCCACTTTTCAAGAAGATTATGACTCCAATTCAGGTTTCATGGGTTCTTTCAATATCCGTTCCAACAGGCGAACCAGTATCGCAGATAAATGAGACCATTGACTACAACGAGATCTTCAGGTGGTCGAGCAGTGTGGATGAGCAGTACGGCGACGCGCTGGAGCGAGGTCTTCCCAACCCCATCCTTTACATCGCAGAGAAGTTCACTCGCAACAGCGCTTGCGGCCTCATCTACCAGTACAGATACTCAGGCCGCTTCGCCTCAGCCAATCTGTGGTAAACCAGCACATAGACACCACCAATGTCTTACTGTAGTGTAAAGAAACTCCATTCTATTCAACAGATGCAAACAAGCTAAAGTACAGAATGGCTTTCTCCCACAGGACGGCTTTTTGCTGCTGGCTCGTGGCCAATATCCTCTTCTCAATGCCTGTCATCCTCTACGCCGGGTACATGATGATAGCCACGGCCGCTTTCATCTTCTTCTCCATGGCTTCCTTCTCAACTATATTCAATGTGACCCCATGTGACTTCAGTGTAGGTGCAGAGTCCTTAAGGACAGATTACAGCCATTCCTTCTGGATCGCTTTGGCTACAGGTAAATACTTCTTATGGGAAAGCGCACCATTCTCAAAAAAGTTTTTGACTCGGAAAACAAAGAAAATACGATATAAAATGACATAGATGTAATCTGTGGTGCCAATACTTTTGGCGAACCATATTAGGTAAACAGGGCTTTAAAGAACCATTTTTATTTGCAGTCTGAGGAACCTTTTTATACTTTGAAAAATAAAGGTTCTTTACTGGCATCTGAGGTTCCATGAAGAACCTTTAACATCCAAGGAAGCTTTCAATTCCACAGAAGATTCTTCATATTGGAAAAAAGGTTCTTTAGATTATTAAAACGTTCTTCACACTAAGTAAAATGGTTCTTTTAAGAACTGTTCACGGCAAGGTTCTTTCGGGAACCCAAAATGGTTCTTCTGTTGGATCCCTTTAAAAACCCCATTTTGGAACCTTTATTTTAAGAGTTGGAATATTCCACATTTAAAAAAAAAAAAAGTTCCAGAAGGCGGTTTTCACAGTGATGTCATAGAACCACTTTTAAATTCCCCAAAGAACCTTTCAGTGATCAGTTCTTCAAAGAACCATTTTGTGAAGAACGTAATCTGAAGAACCTTCTTCCACTATAAAGAACCTTTTGTGCAACGGTTGTGTTCTTCATGGAACCATCAATGCCAATGAAGAATCTTTTTTTTTTTGTGTTTGGTGATTATTTTCAGGTTTGCTGTGCGTTGTGATTGGTTTGGTGGTGGTGCTACTGGACTGTCTGTTTCCTGCGAGGATGAGGGAGGTATTCAGTGTGGGTGTGGACAATGAGGATGACGAATGCCATACTGGTGAAAGCTACCTCAACTCAGGCTTTCTAGAGGGAGTGATCTATGATGACAACACACAGACAGGGAATGGCTC